TCCCATGCATGTTCTAGTTTGACAAGTACAGAGGGAGTGATGTGGCTGCATGTGAAATTGCCTGGGGAACTAGAAAAGTCAGTACGAAGGCCCACATTAGATCAGAGAAGTTATAAGGGTGGGGCTCAGCACCAGCACGGGTTCAATGTTCCTGGAGGAAATTGGTTGCCACCAAGGCTGAGCACCATTGCTCTGATCCAGACCTCTCATGAAGGGGAGGTTGGCCCTGAGTCTCCTGATGTAGCCTAGTGTATTTCTTGGGTCTTGTCTTCTTCCCTTGGATGGATATATACCTGCACCTTGTGTAAGGTGGGCTTCTGGCTAGCTTTTCAATGGAGCAGAGGTGGCAGAGACCTAGGAGGAGCCAAGCAGACAAAAAAGCTGTAGGGTAAGGGAGTAGGGGTAAGATTCAGGGGTACAGATGATATAGTTTGGCATCAAGGGCACAGACGCTTTCTCAAGCAGGTTCCAGGCTCCACTTGGCTTCTCATAAGCAACTAGGGGCTCCAGCTTCTCATTGTGGATGGAGTTTCACACAAGGCACCATCTTTCCCCTGAGGTATTTTTTATTTTGGCCATGACCAGGGTTTACTGGGTTGATTTCTTGGGTGGGTAAAGTGGGCTGAGGTACCCAGGTGAAGAGATCTGCCTCAGAGCAGGGATCTGGGATATCTAGAGGAGCCCCAGAGAGGGCACTGGTCAGTCCAGACCCTAAGCTCTGCCAATTCCTCTACCCAGGCCTCATGTGGCCAAGTAGAAAACACTTTACCCCTTCCTTTTTCCTTTATCTGCTTTCTAGTTCCCTCTGCCCGCTTCTTTCCTTACCTCCCTCCACAAGGCCGAAGCACAGCAGGGAAAGGATTATAGATCTGGCAGAGCTTTGAGGAGGATCAAGTGTGAAGGATCTTTCAGCTGGACGGGGTATAGAGAAGTGAACTTCAAGCAACTTTAAAGCACAGATCATAGGGAATAAGCATGCAATGCATACCAATACAGATTCAAAATTATGAACTCAAGTGAATTTAAGTCTTAAAACAACGGCATGTAACCCATCTTCAACTTGGCTTCCAGCAACATTGGAAAAGTCTGCTGAAGAAGCCTTCCCTTCCTTTTGCCCACCCTTTGGCTCTTTCCCACTCTTTTCTTCTTCCATCCTTTCTGTCTTTGCATAGAGTTCCTTTCTTGTTTCCTGATTTCTTCTCTCCCTTTGGCATCTTAGGCTCTATTTTCTCTTCTGTTACCTCTTTCATTTCCCTGTCATTCTCCCTTCAGTTCCCTCTGCCTTTTTTTAGGTCTCATTGTTTTGTCTTTCATTCTGCCATTGATTCTCAACCTCTATGTATTTCCCTTCCTTCTCTTTCTTTCTTGGTTCTCTCCCCTGCCCTTCTCCCCACTGGATTGCTTTCAGCTCCAGCCTTACCTTCCTCTCAAACATTTTTCTTTTGAGTGTGCATATTAGTACTGAGGCTTGAACTCAGGGCCTGAGTGTGTCCCTGAGCTTTTTCATTCAAGGCTAGTGCTCCATCACTTAAGCCACAGATCCACTTTTGGCTTTTTGGTTAATTAGAGATAAGAATCTCACAACCTTTCTGTCTGGGCTGGTTTTAACAAAGATACCCAGATCTCAGTCTCCTGAGTAGCTAGGATTACAGGTGTGAACCACCAGTGCCTGGCACCTTCCCTTTTATGCCTTTACTCACTCTCCTTACCTCTTACAAAGGCTCGTTGACTGAGGCAGACAGTTCATCTTTGCTCTCATAGGAACATAAGGATTAGTTCCTTGAAGGGAAGTTTTACAGTTGCTATTGCCATTTCCCACCTCCCTATATTCTTTTTTTTAATAGGTTTTTTATTGTGAAAATACCGTACAGAGGGGTTACAATTACATGAGCAAGGTAAAGAGTACATTTTTTATCAAGCATTGTTGCTTCCTCCTTTGTTTCCCCTTACCATCCCTGCCCTCCCATCTCTCTCCCACCCTCCCTATATTCTTAAATATAGCCCTAGCCCAAGCCTCAACGGATCCCTGGCCTACAGTTGTCCAATCCTGACTATAGTCAGGCAGTAGATGAGGCTAAGGGAGAAACATGGCCTACAGCCTGGAAGCTACCCACATAGAAGTGGAACAGTCAGAGTTTTCTTCACCTGGAATGGGCTCAGAACTCTAGACCCATTTCTTCTAAAGATCTCAGACTTTAAATGAAACTTAGTTCATATAAATCTGTTCTTTCCTATTCTTCTTCCCATTCCCTTCTACTTACAAAGTTAATAATTTCATTTTCTAGTATTTATGAACCTGCATACTTTATTTTCATCTCTTATGTCCCTTTTCTTTTTTAGGGGGGGTGGCTAATGACTTTTCATTATTGCAATAGCTATCTACTGAAGTGGCCTCTAGATTCTCTTCCTTGTGTCTCCTGCTCCATGTGGAAAGAACTTCTCAGGATATGCTTATCTTCTGCAGCGGAGTATAGGATAAAGATCTAAGTTCTTAGGCCTGGTTTTCAAAGGCCTGGTTCCCAAAGGTGACAATCTACCTGATCCCAGAGCTCAGGTGACACTGCCTTTGTCACATGTACACACCTGTGCATGTACACACAGGTACACACCATATTTATTATCACTCATGAATTAGTTCTTCACAAGGTTGGACACTGACCGGTTTTAGGAGGAATACCACAACTAGTACATCTGGTTCCAGTTAAGGCCCTTTCTTCCCCACTGAGTGGTCAATGATTCTCAAAAAATAAAGAAAAGAAAAGAAAAGAAAAAAAGAAACTCTGGTCAGTCTCCAGGATGACAATAGGGTTTTGGTTTTTCAGCTTGTATTCTTCCCCACTGGGGGACCTTCCATTTCTCACCTTCTTCTTACCTAGAAGGGAGCCCCCACAGAAGGGCTGTCCATTCTGCTCTACCATCATGGCCATCCAGGGAGTGGTGCCCCTCTGGCTTTGGTGTCCATTGAAGATCTTAGCCGTCACCTTCCGGGAGAACTTGGGGACACCACACACTGCAGCCAAGGAGGAAGGAACAGATCACACTCTGGGCTCTGTCTTGTCTATTCCCTGAATTACTAGCTCATCATCACTCTGCTAAAAGCATCTCTTAATTTTGGTTTCCCAGTATCCCTTACTTCTTCCGAGTCATTTTGATCCCTTTCAGCTGTATGAAATCATGCCTTCATTTAATTAAGTTCCAATAATACTTAAATCTTCTTTCAATAACATTCAACTCCTTTTGCCTATGTAAGACCTACATGCACTTAACCTTATCTTGCTTGCTAGGGTGAGCTTTTTGAAGCAAAGGAATTAAATGACAGGAATTTAAATGAGGAAACAAAGCTTTTGATAAGGAAATATATCAATAACCGACCCATTTCTTCTTCTTTTTCTCCTCTTCTTCCTCATCCCTCTTCTTCTGTGTCAAGACTAGAGTTTGAACTCAAGACCTCACACTCTTGCTTAGCTTTTTCATGCCAGGCTGGTGCTCTACCACTCCTGACACACCTCCGCTTCTGATCTTTTGCTGGTTAATTGGAGATATAAATCTAATGGATTTTCCTGCCTGGTCTGGCTTTTGCTTCCTGAGTAGTCAGGGTAAGAGTGTGAGCCACCAGTGCCTGGCATTAGTACTTCTTTTTGAGATGACATCCAGCTGCCAAAAGCTGTTTCTAGACAGGAAAAGATTTTGGCTTCACAAAGGGCTAATTTCCCAGTAAAATGTCAAAATAATGAACATACTTCATCCACAATAACCAAACTCCCAAAACAAGGCCACTGATTATCCTCAGAGGGTTTATTTCCACATTAGACCCCCACCAGGAGAAACAAAATGCAAAGGCCCCCTACAGAGTAGCAAAGCATGTGATATTTAAATATACAAAATATAGCATCCTCTACATGTACAATTCATAGATACAGGAGTGTGTTTTGATGAACCACTTGAAAAAAGAATCAGACATTTCCTAATTATTCTCTTGGAATACCGTTCAGGAAGCTCTACCAGGTACCTTTATAGGATGGGGATTCCCAGGAGAGAGTTAGGAATACAATCCACCTATGAGAGCCCAGGAGAGGCTGATGGCCATCACTGGGTGCTGACAACAAGAGCTGGAGAGATGGTGAAGTGGGTTTCAGGACTTCCTTTTATGGAGACCCTAAGGCCCAGAGAAGAACATGATTTGTCAATGGTTATATAGCCAGTTAGGTTTATGACCTAAGATGCTCCATCTCTTTTCACTGCCTTGACCTTGAGCACTGAAAAGCAGAGGAGTAGAGGCTTCTCACCATCGTGCTGGGTGTATTCTCCACTGAGCTCAGGTCCCAGGGTTATGGGGTAGCCTGGTGGGATTTGATTGACTTCTTAGATGCTGAGTCAACTCTTTCTTCTATTTTTCTTCCATCCTGGTGGGATTCAGTGTAGATCCCACTGTTTCCTAAGTAACAGCTAAGTCTCCATACGTGGGGTTGGACATGCAGTCTTTTTAGATGATGCATCCCAGAGCTGGAGTGTTGCTTTGTGTTTGGAGTGGCAAGTGTTGAAACATTGTGGGGTCAGCTGGTATTTGAGAGTGGCACCAGTGATGTGTTTTCAGTGGACGATGTGAATGTAAGGGGCTTGGAGAGCTGCCCACTGCTGTTCTCCTTCCACAGTTACCACAAACCTTTTCTATCTTCCTTTGAAATTCCTTTAGCGGGGAATATAAAGAATAATACTTGTACTACAGGGAGCTTTGTGGAAAGGCCTATCTGTTACACCATGAGAGAGGGCCTCTGATCTCCTTTCTTTAAACTGAATGGTTAAGAGGAGGGACTTAACTTGGTGTAAGACCAGAGAGCAAAACTGGGAAAATATCTGGATATAGACTTCAGTTCAATGTAAGGAATCATTTCCTATCAGGTCTAAGATCCTTTACACCAATAGTGGCTCCAATGGGTTTAAAAAATGGTTAGGAGTGAATAAAGGCCAACAGGCTAAAGCTTGCCCTGGAGAGGAGAGTTAGAGGCCCTCTAGCTCAGTTCCTTCATTATGTTGTCGGGAAGATGTGGCTCAGGAAGGGGAAAGGACTTGGTCCAAGTCATGGACCAGGCCTCCTGCCTCATATCTTGCCCCTGTACCACAATGCTGCCTCCCTGGGTCCTAGGGCTGTCTCAGGAGGATGAATGCCCTGCTAGGTCAGTCAGTAAATTCAGTCTATTTGGTCTGGTAAGTAACATGGAGTGTGTAGCTGGAAGTGTGTGGTGCAGTTTCACTCGATATGGGTCAGCACAGGCAGGCCCCAAGGAAGTTAGTCAGCTCACCGCTCTACCTGGAGCTCCCTGACGTCTTGTGGGGAGTTCATCTCCTCCCACAGCCAGTCCACATAGTTGGAGACCTTTGTGTATACTCCATATACCTGCTTGCTGCCACATTCTTCGGGCCCTCCCCAGGATACCAGGCCTTGGGCCACCCAGTGCTGGCTCACTTCGTCAAGGATGACAAAGGCCCCACCACTATCTCCAAGGCATGTGTCCTTGCCACCTTCATAGTAGCCAGCACAGAACATGTTCTCTGTGACACTGTAGTTGCCAGAGCGGGATTCATAGCTGGCTTTGCACTCCGTGTGAGGCACCACGGGTAACTTGACATACTGCAGGATATCTGTGGACGTTCGCATGCCACTCCCAAGCACATCATCCACGGATACATTGGGATTGGAGATGCCCCAGCCAGCCACCAGGCCCAGCATGTGTGGGATCAGGCCTTCGGGCTCAGACTTTGGAAGGCAGACAGGCCTGACATGGGGTCCTAGGGGCACAGGCTCCTGCAGCTGTACCAGAGCTATGTCATGGTTGTAGTTCTGGATGTTGAAGTCAGGGTAGAGTACCACACGAGCAGCCGACCTGTTGACAGCTCCTGATTTGTCACGTACATCATACAAGCCCAAGTAGACGGTGATGTGCTCCTTGGAGACGGGTATCACGGTGTTGTCTCTGCGCTGAGAGCGTAGCACATGCGCCGCTGTGAGGATCCAGGACTCTGAGAGCAGGGCCCCACTCCCAAACCATTTGTCACTTGGTATTCTTGAAGTGTCCTCCACCACTATCAAGGCCTGCCATGGGAAGAGCCCAGGCTCAGCAATCCGGCCTCCAATAATCCGCTTGACTAGGTTTGGCAGGGAGCGGGAAGGCTGGCCGCACTCTGTGAGGAGATGAATGGAGTAGGGACAAGAAACAGAGCTCAGTTAGGTCAGCTATATTAAAAGAGCTACTAAGAGCAATTTATCTCTTACCCCAGTGTAGATTATGCCACCCTGGAATTTCTAATCTGCAAAAACTATGAAGAACGTTTTCCTGGGACTCTCTGGGTCTAAATTTCTGTGACTGGTTCCACTGTAGCTGAGCTAATCTACGGAACCAGTTAATTCATGCTTGGACCTTGTCCAAGCTGAATCAATCAGTCATAGACTACTTTTTGCCTCAACCATCTTCAGCCAGGCCTATCACTAACAGTGGTCACCTCATTTCTTTTGTTTCTCCTAGAAATGACTCTAATATCTCAGAAGTCATCCATACTATGGGCACTCAGAGAATTCAAAATTTTCTCTCCATGTCTACAGGCACAGAGAAATGGAAGGAGCCTAAAAGACTATCCATCACCATCAGTTTCTAGTCTATACTAAACTGGGAACCAATGCACCTGGGGCCTGGGGTCTGAGTTTTTCATTTCCTATGAGACTCTAAGGCAGTACTTTTCCTCTGTGGATTTCAAAACTCTGTGTGTGTGTGTGTGTGTGTGTGTGTGTGGTACTAGGGCTTAAATTTAGGGCCTTGTGCTCTTTTGCTTGGCTTTGTCATTCAAGGCTGATGCTCTACCAACTGGAGGTAAGAATTTCATGGACTTGTCTGCCTAGGCTGGCTTTGAACTGTGATCTTCAGATGAGCCTCCTGGGTCATTAGGATTAGAAGCATTAGCTATTGGTGCCTGGCTGATTTCAATTTGTTTCACTTCAATTTTGGACAAGATAATCTCAAAATTTCAATTTTCTTTATTACTTCATTTGCCACCCTCTCTTTATAGACAAAAAATATTTTTTAGAGGTTACAAGATCAGCTATCAAGTTGTTTAGAAGATTCTAGATTCTAAGATTGTTGTCTAATTCTGTATTCCACTCTGCCTTGGGATATATTAAGATGATGGTCATAGGCCTTCTAACCCTTTCTTCTCTGACTTGTGGATTAAGCCCAGGACAGACAAAGTAGGGGAAAGGTGGCATAATCCACACGCAATGATGTATGGGCCTTCCTCAGGGCCACTCATCATTGCACCCTGGAGCCCTGTAGTACCTTCAAGGGAAGGAGAAAGGTCTGAGGAAACTTCATTCCACTGAGTTGCACCCCGAGCATGCACATGCACCACCAGCCTCCTGTAGCCAAATGCCTCTGACTCATGAACCAGGTCTTCCATACTGGGCCCCCTGGCTAAAACACAAGCTCACATGGGCCCTTCCCATGCAGGCTATGTGAGCCTGGTAGGTTAGCCTGAGGTGTTGTGACTCTCCTTCAGGTTGCAATGGGAAGACAGCCATCCTTGTCCTTGGATGCTCTCATCAGCCCTTTAGAGACCAAGGAACCTTTGTATTTTCTTGGTAATTGTGGGAGGACGGGTTTCTACCACATGATGGCTTTGGATGTTCTTCTTCATGATGCCAGGTGCTTCTTCCATGATTCTGGGGCACAATGCCATTCACCGCAGGGAGGATGTGAAAGGGGCCTTTGTAATTGTTGGTAGCCTGTTTTATCAAAGTTGAGGGCCAGCCTCCAGTTATTATCAGCAGTCTACAAGAGGGAACCTCAAGGCAGGTCTGTGCATATGAATTTATACAGAGGTGAGGGACATATTTATGATTCAGTTCATGGTCACAACAAAGCCCATGCCAGCACAAGATGCCAGTGACCTACTTCAGATCACAGAAGGTCAGTGCCAAAGGAAGCTCAGGGAATAGCTAATTTACAGATGGAAAAGACCAGTGACTCACTCAATGTCAGTGCCTGATGAAGTGAAACCCATTTTCCCTGATGCCAGCTTAATTTCTCTGCTAACATTTGATTTCCACTTTGATGTGTTCTTGTCTTTTGAAGAAGTTAAAAACAGTAACAATTCTTTGTTGTGAGAGATCATTGAAATGGGGTAATTGGTGTGTGTGTGTGTGTGTGTGTGTGTGTGTGTGTGTGTGTGTGTGTGCTGGTACTGGGGCTTGAACTCAGGGCCTTACTTTCTTTTTTAACTTTTTTGCTCAAGGCTGGCATACTACATTTAAAAGCCACACCTCCACTTCTGAATTTTTGCCAGTTTGTTGGATATAAGAATCTCTTTGGATGTGTCTGCCTAGACTGGCTTTGAACTGTGCTCCTCAGATCTCAGCCTGCTGACTAGCTAGGATTATAGGTGTGCACCACGGGTTTCCAGCTCCTTTTTTTTTTTTTTTTTTTTTTGCGGGAGGTAGGGAGGTTGAAGTCTTGAACGATGTTGCGTAGAAAGGCCTCAAACTCTTAGGCTCAAAAGATCCTTCTGCTTCAGACTCATAAGTAGTTATGACAATAGGCATTAAACACAATACTTAGCTAAAATAAAGCAGCTGTTCAAGATGATCACACATCCAGATTTGAGATCATCCTTCTTGGTTGCTGATATTCAACTCCCAGTGTCTCGTCAGAAAGGATTATTCTTGAAATGTTACAATGTGGTCTGTGCTAAAGTCAGATTTGGGCTCTAGTAGATGGTGGATATAGAAGGAAGGTCCTTAAAACAAACCATCCATACTCCAGGATTCTGAGTTCATGAGAATGATATAAAACATAACCCCAGTCAGAGAAGGCTCAACACTACTGTGTTGGCATCAGAAGTCTTGGGTTCATTTTCTGACTCTGCCTCTTTCTGGAAGTAGATTTGCACCAATCACTATACAAGTTTTTACTGGGAAAATAATACTCTTAACAGACCTCTATGATAATAGATGAAGCAGATTTTCCATTCAGTTTACATCCTGGTTCCAGGTCAGCCTTTCAAAAAGGAAGAATTCAGAAATCTGGGTTCTGTCTAACCCTGGGTGTTATAAGAATTTCATGGTTCACAATATCCAAGATGCTTTGTACATTGTCTAAGATAATCAACATTCAGAATCATAGGATGCTATGGATTTCCTGATCTTGCTTCCTTTTTCTCTGTGGCATGAACTCCCAGCTGCCGGAGAACTGAGATTACCCAGTAAACATTCCAGTTTGGAGGCAGTTGCACCAGGCTCAGGTTCATAGCCAAGTGCATCTTCCTCTCTCAGAGGTGGCAATGTGGCTTCCCAGAATAGAATCACCCATAGTTTTCTTTGTCCCATATAGACCTTCAGCATCACCAGTCTCCTCTTCTTTGAGACTTTACCACCCACATTTCATGGGGGTGGTTATGGTCAAGCCAATTTGAGGTGAGTAGATGAGCAGAATGTAGATGAGAAGACCTTTATATTTTTAATTCCCTTTATCTTCATGCTTTCTTGGGGATAAATATCTTCTATGTCAAGTTTTCCTTCCTGGTATACATCTTCCACTCTGGAACACACATGTGCAGTTACAGCCTCCTCTGGGGTCCTATCACACATGTGATGGTTGTGAACTGACTCTCAAATGTTATTCTGTTCTTCACCTGGTAAGGTTTAATGGTAGAAAACTCCTTAGGTTTTTCATTCTAACATTTAGCCTAATGTTTACTGAGTGAATAGTGAGAATTAGTAAAATGCCCTTCATGTAATACCTTGTAGTTCAGTAAAATACAAAGCCACCCAATGCATAGCCATATTGTAAAGCTTTTGTTATTCAAGCAAAAGTGCATATGAAACCAAGAAGGATAGTATTTTTCAGTCTTCCTCCATGCTATCTTGAATGGTTGTTTCCTTTCATTGTCACTATTCTGGATATTTTTCTTAAGAGAATAAGGTTTTGTGGGTTCTTTAACTTTACAATGTGTATGTGTGTTGGGGCTATACTTTTCTAACCTGATTTGAATATGTGTGTGTGTATGTTGTGATTTCAAAGTGAATCATCTATAGTTTTAATGCTAAAGCAAATACCCCCTAAGTCTAGATGCACAGATACAACCATTTTAAGTTGGAATCAGTAGATAAAACATGGAGGAGGCCATAATCAGAAAGACTTGTACATATTGCTCTTGAAGTTCTTACTCCATCCTTCAGAGTATTTGTTATTTGTCTTCTGTTGTCATCTTCTTTATAGCTCAAAGTGCTCAAAGACAAGGAAGGCCCACTTTCTTGATTTTCCTGAGCAACAACAGGTGTCTACACTCACTGGGTTGAAAGAAAAACCTGGAGGGAAGTGACTGGAACTGGAGAGAGAGGAGGCTAGAGTGGTCCTTATACAATGGAGAATAGAGGATAGAGTCCAGTTAGTTTGAGAAAGTGTGAGGGTAGGCTTCTCTAATCTTTGACCTTCAAAAGACATTTCTTATATCTCTTAAAAAAACAACCACAGCCTCTTTCCTCTTAACTCCCTATTTATAGTCAGAGCACCTGAGGCCCCAAGGTCTTGGATGAAAGAGTTTCAAGCAGAAGATTTGGTGTGTGAGGTACCTGGATGGCAGGTGGGCAGGCTTGTCCCCAGTGCTTCATTCACCCAGGTCCCAAGGGCAGAACAGGTATATATACCTGGGTGAGTGAAAAGAAAAGTGGGAGGAAAAGAAGAAAATGAATGCTGTGGAGCACAGAGAACATAGGTTTGACTTCTTAATTCCTCCAGTACCGACCATGGAAAAGGTCCTCCAAATAGTCTGAGTCAGTCCTCTCTTAATACAAGGGAACTTTCTAAGATGAAATCTAACCATGTGCCTCATCAGCTTAGAATGATCGATGGACCCTCACCCTCCGAAAATAAATACGATACTCTCCAGTCCAGTGCCCACAGCTCTGTGGAATCGGATTCCTGCTTGTCTGAGAGCCGCTCCCGGCCTCGTGTTACCATTCTCTGGCAGGTGTCCTTCCATTGGTTGTAATGACCTTGGTTAATACCACTCTCTTTAATAAGCCATGCATGTGTGACCTGCTTCATTTGAGTCTCATAATAGTTCTGGCAATGATATCCCATTGCCTTATTGAAAAATGAGGACGTGGAGTCTTTAAGAAACTAGAGGAGTTTGCTTAGATTCACTTGACACAGAGATGGGCCTTTACATCTTCCTTAGAGCTCTTTTTCTGGCCAGGCATTTTGAGTGTTTATGTAAGGGTATCAGAGTGACTCATTCTGGTGAGAGGCAGCACATATCTTCAAGTATTTCTCCTCCTAAGTCCTCTCAAACAAGGCTAATGCTGGTCCTTTACCTCTCAGGCCTGGGTGCCTATACCCAATCCTGGGATGAACCCAGGGTCTTCCTATCAGAGGGATAGAAAGTAATGATCAGCTGCAGCTGGATTTGAATCTTTGTCTGGGGATAAGCTATTTAGCAAAATAGACAGAATTTTCTTTTGTCTGCTCTTTACTTTTCCATTCCATTTGAACTCCACTGCCACACACTAAGAGCATGACTTTGAAGGAAGAGCTCCTAGTTCGCAGGCCTGTTGAATGACTGATCTGGTTAGCCAGAAGCCAAGGCAAAAGTTGGCTAAAGTAGCAACACTTGCTACATTCTGGAAATCCTAGTTGTCAGACAACTTAAGGAAATATATTTGGGGAGATTTTGGACTTCTTTGAGGTCTCTATTCCTTCCTTAATTTTGTCATGAAAGACTCCAGGCATCAAGGTCTACATTCATTAGTAGAATCAGTGCTGAATTTAAAAGCTAAAAGAACAACCCTGGGATTTGGTTCTGACACTCAATCTCTGCATCTCTAAATGGACACGATAACACAAACTCATAGAATGTGAGACCCAGATGATACAATGTGTGGGTGCTTTATGCATTATGAATTCCACACACTTGCAGGCAGCTACTCCTTACAGAGCTCTTGCAGCCTCAAATTGAACCCTGAGGCCCAGAGTGTGCACTTTGAGAATGAGAGAGTTTAGCATGGAGGGCTTACCTGTGGTATTTTGAAGTATCTTGTAAAAGGGTTGCTGGCAGGAATATCTGATCTCAGAATTGTATGTGGTAAGGTTGTTCCTTGTGGAGAAGGTGATCAGCCCATGTTCCAGCCCTGCTGGGACTCCACAGTCTATAACTGAGAGAGAAGAAGTGAGACCCTTTAGCTGTCTTATATTCTTCCTTGTGAGGAAATAGGATGAGTCCATCTTCTGCAGATGTGCAGCTTACACACTGCATACAACTGCAGAGAACCATGTTATAGTTTCCACCAAAGAATTGCATAGTGTCCAACCTGTGCAGCTGATAGTGTCCCTGCTTTGGAGGTTTCTCCACTATGATATTAATACTGTATGGTCAACTCACCTGGCCTAGTGCCAAGTTTATGGCAGGGGCAGATCTATTGAGATTTAAGAAGCCCCAGTCATATTATCACCATAGCCTCTTTCTTTGATTTTTTTTTTTTAGTTCTATTATGCAATCTTCTCTGCTCCTTCTGCCAAATCACGAAGCAAATGGCTGTGAGAAAATTCTGGCTGACCTGAACCAAAGAAGGTTCCATTTTTTTCCAGTTCCAACCACAGGATGAATAACAACAGTGAATATGTCCATATTGGAGTTTGGCACAGAAAAATCCCCCAAACCAAACAAAATTTTAAAAAAATTCCCCCAAACAAAAACCAGGCTCCTCCAAAAGTACACAGTTCCACCCTGTTGGCTTTCTACTCAGAGCTCATTTGGTCATAGAGGCAGTAGAGGGTCAGGAGTGGGCCAACTTTCACTGTTCACCTGCTCATTTTCTCCATTCACTGGTGGCTAGACACTGCGGATGAGTGTAGTCACAGACATGACCAAAGATGCTGCACCCCAGAGACGGTCTGTGGGGAGCCTGGTAGGCTATACAGGTCTTAGGGGTGTTGCTGGTATGGACAGGGATCCGACTTAGGTCAACTTTTCATGACCAAATCAGAAGCTGATGACTCAACTTATCAATGTCTTTTCATGGGTCTCCTTTAGGAGATGATGACACTTATTTCTAAGAAAATCCTAACATTAGATGTAACAGTTTGTGACAGAGCTGGAGAATCACAGAGGAAATGCAGAATTTTCTAGTTAGAAACCTGACCTAGGACATCAAGAATGTCTTCTATATAATCTACTCAGATAGGAGATTTGACTAATCCAAAGTTATTGTCAGAGTGAGAACTGAATGTGACCTTGAACTCCGTGGTCTTTCAGTGAATAGTACCAGTAGTTCCTAAGGATCTTTTTATTTCTCCTCAGTTAAATGACTTATAGTAGGTATTAGCTGGCTTATAGTGGACCTTAGTAGTCAATCTTTCCAGAGGTCCAGAAGAATTTTCAAAGTTCTACTTCCTTCAGAATTTTACTTGAGTACTTTGAGAAACAGAGAGGAAAAACTTATCTTTGAATGCTAGCCAGACACTGTGATTTTCAATTGAGGGCTTCACATCCATCCTTTTGATTGCTAGAGGGTTATGTAAGTTAAAATATGTGTAATTCCAAGGCTCTTCAGGTTGAAGCAGATGGATGAAAGAAGGGAGTGAATATGAAGTACTTGTCAACAAAGAAGGCAAAAATCAGAAGGGCTTGTTTTGTTTTGGCCTCTGATATCCCTAGACAAATTGTTTCCATTTGTTTTGATCATGTCAAAGTATAAACACTCTTCCAGTTTGGGAGATAAATGTGTAAAGGTTAATCCCGGGATAATACGAGATAGTAAGAGGAAATAATATTGTTTTTTTGAAGTTGTAAATAATATTCAACTTATTTTTTTGCTGAGACTCAGCAGATTTTTCCTTCCCTCTGGGAAATGTACTTGACTGGTCTTAGATATTGATATTACTTGCTTCCATTAACAGTTAGCAGTTGCTTTGATTTAAAATATCCTTGAGATACAGATAGCTGGTTCCTTAACTACCTTTTGCTCTTTCCTAGAAGAATTTCAGGGTTGGACTTAGACTTAAGAGACATTATCTAGATATAAAGCTTGCTTTTGCATTGCTCCTGAAAAGTAATTCTGTCCATGAACACAGTGGGTCTCACAACCAGAGAGATGAAAATATTGGAAAATAGAAGGCCATTGTGTCTCAGTTACAGTGAGTAAGGAATGGGTGAACCTCCATCCATATTAATCAAAAAGCATTGGGAGACAACTGAAGACAAATCGGTGGCAACTACTTCCTCTCAAGCTGGCCCTGCTGTACAATCACTGTGTGTTAGATCTTGGGTCCTTATTTAGTCCATTGTTACTTTAGGAGATGTGCCATCTACGCCCTAGTATCCAAAGGCCTTTTTCATTGGGCACCAGTGGCTTAAGCCTTTAATCATAGCTACTCAGGAGGCTTGGGTTCTGAAGATTGTTGTTCAAAGCCAGCCAGGGCAGGAAAGTCTGTGAGTCTCTTATTTTCCCATTAACTAGCAGATTAAAAATTGAAAGTGGAGTTGTGTCTCAAGCAGTAGAGCACCATCCTTGAGCAAAATTCAAGCCCCAGGACAGACAGACAGACAGACAGACAGACAGACAGACAGACAGACACACACACACACACACACACCTTTCCCCTTCCCTTGGCCTCCCTTGGCCTCCCTTGCTTACCACTCTTTAGTGTTGACTGCACCATCCCCACCCTATCTCCTATTTATCTCTTCCTGCAATTTATGTTTACTTCAGACCCATCTTTCTTTGGCATGCAATACTGAGCATACTATAATCCAGTGGCTTCTGAGAAACCACAGGTAAGCAGCTCTTCCTAGAATGGAAGACCAAGAAATGGGCCAGACAGCCCTTCCAAGACTCATCTTCTTTCCTCCCCTTAGTAGATCATAGACTCTAACATCACCAGGATCTCTTCTTCTGCCTCCTTTCCTGGTTTTGTGCCTTCTTGTGCCTGGGACACTATGTCCACGTGGCCTCCTCTGAGATCTTGATCAAACACTAGTCCTTCTTAAAAGCTTTATCTATTCCTTCTACCTGGACAGGGTAGTTTCCTTATTCTGGAACTTTTTATTCATGTCTTTCTGATGGTAAATACCATCTTATGTTGCCTGGTCCTGCAATTATTTGGATGTCCATGAAATCTTCATTTGAAATTATATTATCAGTTATACTGGGTATAAGTCTGTGCCTATCTTGTCGACTTGCAATCATCTGTTTGTCTGTCTCCTTTCTTGGTGGCACATCTGTTACCTCAGCCTCTAGATTGATCAGTGTCTGCATGTGCAGGGGTCTGCCCTCATCAAGTGGACATGGAGTCCTGAAACAGGTTTAGTCACAGTCACTGGGTTCCCTGATATGTGTCAAGGCCTTGTTTAGGCAGAAGCCAAGATTCTGCAACATAGGCAGTTGTTCTTCAGCCCCTTCTTCGCCACTCCTTATGACTCAGTGGTGTCCACAGCCCTGGAATGGAGGACCACAGTGTTCATGTGATGCCTATCCTTTTAATCAGTAAAGCTGAAGAAACACAAAACTTGTAAATTCAGAAGAAAGAAATTTCTAATGATAGAATTTCAGCTCTGTGTTAAATAATGATAGAAGGGACATTTTGTGAATGAGAAAATATCCAGATTCTCAAAAATCCACACTATAAATTATTGTTCACATTACCTACTTATGGTTCTTAAGAAATTAGTGACCAATAAAAAAATTTTTATAGTCATAAAGTCACTGGCATTCTGGCACAGTTAAACTTGGGAGTATGGGTTGTTCGGACCAGGAACCAGAGCCAGTGTTGGTCTATTCAGCCTAAGGTAGTATGATTGTATATCAAATCTTATGGTTCCAGAACCAAAGGCATTTTTACTTTGAGAAGAGTACTGTCCACTTAGAGGTCCTAAAAAAAAAATCCCCCGTTGTCTTTTCATGGCTTTTTGGATTAATGTTGAATGATGATCGAATCCTCAAAGGCATGACTTTGTTCTCACGCACACACAGCAGCTTTAACTGAAGAGGCTGTGTGGCTTCTTTGGCCTTCATTCTAATCCACACTGAAATGGACAATGGGAGTGTTGGTAGGTGGGGAGGGGCAGAGTAGCTGGGACTTGGGGATCTTTGTGCGTGATCCATTCCTGGATGTCTGAATTGTGTGGGGTTCCCATCCTTCACTCTGTCACTTGCTCTGACTCCAATTCGCTCTCCAAATCGATCTCGCTTTCTGTCACTATAAAGTCAAATTGGGATTGGGAGACAAAGAGAAAGGAAGCAGAGACAGGAAGGGAGAGATAGAAAAAGAGAGAAAGGAGAGAAAGAAAAATTAGCAAGCAAGGCAGAAATAGTTCCTGCAGGAAATACAGAAATACTCCATCAGAATTGATTAAGAATGCACAGTTTAGGTAAAGCCAGTGCGAAGGACAGTTTGGAATGGTCGAATTTGTACCATTAGGAAAGTTTGCACTACCTTACATCCTGGCTCCTGAGACTGTAAGATTTTTTTTTTCTTTGCAAGGAGATTTACATTCATCTGGTTTGGACCCTCATTTGACACATAGAATTCAGAATACAACAGGTTCTCTTACCACAATAGTTTGAAGGCAGAGGCTAAATAACAACCAATGACTCCCACTTCCTATTCTGGTGCACATTTCTATTATCAGCCTCTTCTCCACAATCCCCAGGACTCTCAACTCCTCAGTTTGGTCTATGTACCTTCCCTAGGTCTTAGAATAACACATACAATTGGGAGATGTGGGTGTGTCTACATGGGGGTTATAATAGTCATAATCCAAAATCGGACTGTATTGTCTTTGTACAAAATGATAATATGTTCTGTTGCAAATAACATAAATCACATAAGCCAGTACTACAGAACTGCTTTGCTCTGTCAATGTGTCCACTATAATAAAAGTGTGTGTGTATAATCAGGAGAAAATAATTCATAATGTTTCTTACTTTCCAAAAGTGTGAATGAGAAGTATCAAATCTTCTAGTGAAGGGGTTAGACTGTGAGGAATGAAGCTTTTATTAAATGTTCACTGTTTCCTGGCACTCTATAGGTATGATATATAGACTAACCCAGTCCTGACAATAATCTTGAGGATAGGAGACTAAATCCAAATTGAACAGAAGTAAATTGCTTAGAGGAACTCAATTGCTAGAAACTGCATTTGAATGTGGAGCTTCCCCCATCTAGAGCCAGGTTTGTCCTGAGTGCCTGAAACCCTCCTTTCCCTTCTTCAAGGTGACCCGTGCTTCATCCTGCAAAGGGTCTGGCTTAGGATCCAGTTACCATACTACCCACTAGGCCACGTACTAGAGGAACAGTTGAGCTCCTCCTGTCTGGAATCCGAATTCTCTGTGTGTTCTTCATAGGCATCAATAGGTACTGAGATTTTCTGCTAAACCTATACAATACTCTTCGTCATATAAGGTTTATATCATCATATTAAAAATGTAAACAAGCACGTTATGCTGCCAAAGGTGTCCTGGTGTTTGCCTCAGAGCCCCCTCCCGTCTGAGAGTGCCCCAAGGGACGGCAGAGGGGATTTGTCTGCCTGCAAGATGGGAGCCATTCAGTAGAAAGGGAGGGAAAGAGAGCTTCAAAAGCTCATGGGAAAAGTATGCAATGAGATTGGTGGGACCAGTCCTCATTCTTGAGTTCTCAAACCTTGGTTTTATAGCAAATCTTTCCTCTCCCCTCTCATCCCCTCCCCTTCCTTCCCTTCCCTTCCCTTCATTTCCTTTTGCTTCTCTCCCCTCCCTCCCTTCCTTCCTTCCTTCCTTCCTTCCTTCCTTCCTTCCTTCCTTCCTTCCTTCCTTCCTTCCCTCCTTCCTTCCTTCCCTCTACTCTCTTTCCTTCCCTGACTCTGTGATTATATATGCCTCTTCTCATCACTGTTGTTATATTTAAGTATGTACAATTATGATCTTTGCAAACCCACTTTGGAATTATCTGAGTATGAGAGGGAAGAAGGTTAGTTGCTAGAAATCTGTAATTTTCTAGGCATAACAGATGATTCTTATGAATTATATTATTTTAGAATCACTGGCATAAATTGTAGAATACTAAAATGAATGTAGGCTCTTCAGTTGATAGCTGAGGCCAAGGATCATGGCCCCAGGTACTGAGTGGATTAAGGGCACACAGGGTAAGATCTCTGGATCCCAAGAGCTTATGAAGAGCTGGGTCCCTTCTTTCATATGTGCTTGCTGTGCTGACACAGCAGCCTTTCTGGAATTGTGAACTAACCTGGAAGACATAGTGGGTGTGGATAATGGCTGTATGTAAGATATCATCCAGCCCTGGACACCAGTGCCAAGCTACATTCCTGCATTAGCAAATGCCAAAGCTCCTTTCAACTCTGGAGACATTCTATTTCTTTACGAAGCTTGACAATTTAACTTCAAAAAATTAGTATTTAGAAAGTAAACTGAGGCCCACAAAATGTTTCTCTCTGGATCTGATAGTCTGTTTGTTAAAAGAGACTTTAACTCTTTTTCTGTCCAGCTCTCCTATGTCTATTGACTTCCTGTTCCATGCATGCATATCACCTCTGGCTGAGTTTTCCCACTTACGTAGTCTCTGCTCCTATCTCACCAGCATGGGATAACTTTAATGAGTTAAAGTTACAATTAATTAAAGTTATAATTAATCTATTTGGTTTTCTTACTTTCACAGGTGGGCATCGCATGACTCCAGGTCCCATCCTTCAGACACTCCATCTGTAATATGTCTAGCACCATATAATCCTGAGCAGAAACCAGAAAGGAATGAGAAAAAGAAGAAGAGAGTGGGGTCAGTGGTGGTTGACCTGCAAAACTAATTTGAATTCCAAACCTGGCTCATTTGGACTGGCATTTTCCACCCACATGGATTCTGAGGGCAAGTGTGCAGATAGGGGAAAGACAGATGCTGAATTCATAGTCCCTGGTTTGTACTCTAGAGACTGGCTAGGGCTGTGTACAAGGGGGGCTTAAATCTTAGTCTCTGAAGGGAGAAACTTAGCCTTGACTTCTTTTTCAGAGAAGTGGCTCTCAACATTGGGCAGGCGGTCAGCCTCATCTGGAGGGCTTGTCATGCCAGACTGTTGGGCCCTCCTCCCAGAATTTCTGATTCTTGGGCTGGATCCACCCAAGAATTAAAATAGCAAACAAATTTCCAGATGATGCTGATACTGCCGGACCAGAGACCCTTCCTTAAGAACAATTCGTTGACAGCAACAGCCCTCTAGCTTTACTGAACATTTGGCTTACCTGGAGAACATTTAAAGAAATAAAACACTGATTTCAGCCTTAAATTGAAAACCATTGTTTCGGGAGATGGGAGACAAAGGGGTACCCGTCTACCACCTTTTGTTAAGATTATTAGTCCTGATTATAGAGCCGTTTGGACCTAGATTTTTATTAGGATCCATGCTCTAATGAAAGTGCCACTGGTAAGGCATGAGAGAGTCTTGGATACGTGGTATAGAATTTCTGGAGCTTTTGGGAGGGAGGCTTTGGGGCAGGTGAGAGACTGTTCTGGCACTGTGGCAAGTTGCAGCAGCCCATCTGTTCTGGAAGGCTCTAGAAATTTTCTCTTGATCACTCCCTCCTCCTTGCAGGCAGGAGCCTCTACCTTTAGCACTTTGTAGCCTGTGTCACAGGTGACGATTACTTGGTCTTTGAAGGAATATGTGGCTTGCAAAGGTTCAATGTTCCCGTGGACAGGAGGATGTAGTTCTGGGCATTCGTTTCCTAGTGGGAAGCAAATGAAACAGCAGCATGTGAGAAAATGAAGTGTGTGCCTAAAGGACCCTAGGAAGTGAGGCCTGAAGGAGGATCAAACAACAGGACTGACTATCAGAGATCTGAACCTTCTAGTAGGCTCTTTCAGGAAAATGACTCTGCAGCCAGAAAACAGTCACTTTCTAACTCAGCTCTCCATGTCCTCATTTGTAAGTTGAGGTAGTTGGCCAGATGATTTCATTAAAACTCTGAGTTTTAATGAATTCAACCCTGTCTAAGCCTTGCTTTACAGTGTTCCCAACATGTTTGCACTCCTGTAGGGACAAGGCTCTCAATTCCTCTCAAGTCGATGCCTTCCACACAGAGATGTCTCTGATGAAGTGAACAATGTTTTCTCATTTAGCTAAAATTGATGTCCTTGGGAATTTGACTCACTGGGCCACCCAGGATGGCCCTAGTTTCCTTTTTCTTCCTAAGATCCTGTTTCAAAGTAAGCAACTGCAATCATATGCTTCTGAGTCCACTCTTCTAAAGGTTAATTCTGATGAGCTCCTCAAGCCCTGACACTTTTTCCAGAGCAAACTCTTGTAAATTTCCGGTCCATGCTTCTTCCCAGACTGGGCACTGGAAGCCAGGGCTTCAAGGGCTAGGAAGTGGATTAGTCACTCCTTTGTGATGTCCACATTTTTCTTCCTTGAGTGATTACAGACTTCTTAAGCCAAGTAGCTTTGTCAGGTTTTGGGCCAGAGTTGGCTGTCTTGGGCATCAAAAAAATGGGACCTGTGGACTTTGCCAATCTGGGAGCTCACATGGATGCAAGACACCATAATGAAGCATTTAAAGCTTCGGACACACCCAAATTTCAGTCCCTGACTTAGAGAAAGCAGAAAGGGCCCTATTGAGGTCTAATGAATAGCTGTGTGAAGAGTGGGGCTCAGAAAACAAGATTTCATTTTTCCATCTCCAACAAGGCAGTTTGAGACCAACCAGTTCAAGCCAACCTCACCACCACTCTTGCTCCTGGGAAACTGAGTCACAAGGGAACATGTACCTCAATTTTAAGTTTTCCTCAGCCCCAAATCCCAGTAGTCACCAGAAAAGTCCTAGGCACACACTTTCTCCTTCCTCAGCCACCCTCCTGGTGAGCAGAGCACCACAGTAGCTGAGACCAGAGGGGGAGATGTTACCTGAAGCTGTGTACGAGAGCCTCCAGCCCTGGTTCTCTCCAGAGTTGTCACTGTGGAACATGATCTGAACCTTATGGCTCTGGGTATTGATGAGTTCTGGGGCTTTCTCTCCACAGAAGGGCCCCCAAATGTTTGGACCAGCTTTAATCTAAGAAAAGCAATATAGATACAGAGAAGAGTCACATCTCTTTCTAGAGATTTTGATTTCCCTGTTTTTCCTACTAATGTTAGCTCCCTTTGTGGGCAGCTCAGTTTATGGCTCTTTCTGATCTCATTCATAGTTCTTCTTCCTTTGTATAGTTCTCAGAATTTACTGTGATCTAGCTTCTGCTTTTTTTTCTCTCTCTAGAAGAGCTCACTGTCTACGTGGCTTGTACACTTGATGGCACCCCGTTTCCTCACCAGCTCAGCATTTCTCCTGAGATCAGGCCCCAATAGGCAATTCCACTTAGGTGCTTCAGCCAGTCACTAAGGATTGCTGATTTTCCTTCTTATACATCAAAGAACTATTTCCTCCACTGTTCTAGTCATGGCTGAAATTCACATTGCCTTTGCATCACACCTATACTGTTGAAATAATTTCAAATTCAGTGGTGATTGGTTGCATCATCCTTCCTCCTCTTTATTTGTCTGTTGAACAATTTCTTCCTCCGAGAAGAATTAGCTGCATAATTTGTGAGGTCCAGTTTGTCATGAAAATGTGGGCTCCTTGGTCAAAACATATTAAGAAGTTCAAGAAGGTAACAGCAGCAAATAAACCAAATATAGGTTAGAGAACAGAGCCCCACCTGGCTACATGGGGTAAAGATCCACGAAGGTGAGTCTGACACCCCACCCCAAGCACCTTCCCAACAAGCAGGGAGGTAGCCAGGGAACTAACCTGGGGAAGATCCTTGTAGTAGATCTGATCAAGATGTTAATTTAAATAATGAGTTGTTAGAAAGCTATTGGTTTAGTTCTCTGTCCTATGAGAAGTTGAAAAAGCCAGGATATCAACATTCCTAGTTCAGCCAGGATCTTCTAGCATCCCTAGGACAAATGTTCATTGCAAGCTCACCTTGATGTAGTCATAGGGGCAGGGCACCTCAGGATGGTCCTCAATGTCAAAAGTGTCCTCGAATTGTAGGCTGATTACGAAACCTTCCTCTAGCCCGATGGTGTAAAGACATTCAGAGCTCTTGGGGTAAGGGTTGGGATAGTCAGGGCTGGTGATCATGCCGGTCATCTGGGTAAAGAGGTTATCGCTGCACTCCACTGTGGGGAAACAGCAGAGAAAATGGCGTGCCACCATCACAGCCACAGCAATCCCTTGCTCATCATCTCTACCTGTGTCCCCACCAGGTAGGCAGGGAAGGAATCATCCCCATTTCACAGGTGAAATTTTTCTTTCAAGACTCCAACTAAGTCTATGTCTCTGTCCAGAGCTGTTTACCTTTCTTTCCTTTTTTTCTGGCACTGGGGGACTGGGCAGGGACTCTGAGAAGAGAGGGTTTTGAGATGGTATAATCATGAGGGCCTCCTGCTTGGCTTTTTCACTTAAGGCTGTTGCTCAACCACTTGAGCCACTTTTTGCTGGTTAATTGGAGATAAGAATCTTACACTTTTCTGCTCTGGCTGGCTTCTAGCTGAGATCTTAGTCTCCTGAGTGGCTAGAGATATAGGTAAGAGCGCCCTGTGCTCTGCTTCAAAGTTTTTGTTGATTCAAATGTAATGCATTCTCAGGTTGTTGACCTTCTGTGCTTCATAATGTTATCCACCACCTGACACTAAGTCACATACTCATTTGTTGATTTTTTCTGTCCCCACTAAATAAGTTCTATGATATATGAAATTGTGCTGTGTTCCCCACTGTGTTTACCATCACCAAATACCCAGTGTCATGGGAGCTTGTCTATTACTTAGCCCTACTGAGCCTTTATTTGCTGTTGAACTTTTGGCCTTGGGCTGACCCATTCTAGTGCTGGCAAGTCCATACTTCCTAAGCCTTTTGTTCCTCTTGCTCATTTGCAAATGAGAAAACTGTAGTCCAGAAAGGCAGCTGTGACTAACTTAAAGTCCCACAGCAATGGACTGCAGAAAGAGGTTTAGATCAAGGTCTCTTAAATCCCCATCTGTTTTCATTTTCTACCCCAAGCATTCTCATGGGGTTACTCTCACCCCAAAGGACTAAAATTGGTTCTTGCACAATGCACAGATAGATATATAATCCATAAACACATATGTCTATGGTATCTAAAAAGAAAAGATTAAAAAAGCTCCTGAGGGATGGGTATGAAGCCAAAGATCAAGCAAGGATTCTTGTTTAACCTGCCTGAGATTTCTTTGTTCTCACTGCATTTAGTACACAAGAGATAGTCAATACTAATACCTACATACTGAATGTAAATAACCTTCTTCAAGCCAATTCCTTTTTTTTTCTTCAGCACTGGAGTTTGAACTCAGGGCCTCACACTTGTCATGCAGTCACTCTTACTCAGTGGAGCCTCAGCTACAGCCTAAGAAAATTGCTAATGTGTCTGTTCTGTTTTATAATGTTCTTGATGGTTAACCTTGATGATCAACTTGACTGGTTTGAAAAATGCTTGAGAGATTAGTAAAGCACATCTCTGAGTGTGTCCTGAAGGGGTTTCCAGAAATGATTAGTTAGTAAAGGTTCTGATCTAATTAATTGCTTAATCCATGGATAAAATCAAAATTTGAATAGACTGTTGGGAGGTGATAGAACTGTGGAAAGTGGAGTCCTCATGGAGGAAGTAGGTCACTTGGGGGCGTGTCCTCGGAGGCTGGCCACTTCCTGTTAAATCTCTGCTTTGCTTCATGTCTGTCATGATGTGAGCTGCTCGGCTCTACCATCTCTGCTGTCTTTGCCATGATGGACTGAAACCATGAGCAAAACAAATCTTTCCTCCTTAAGTTGTTTCTGTCAGGTATGATTTAGTCACAATTACAGTAATCTACTACTTTATATTGATGGATAATATAGGGAAACCTATATTAAAAGCAGAAGATTTTGAAGAAAGAAAACAAAGACCTCTTGTCTCCAGTCTTGCCCTCCTCAAATGACCCTTCTTCAACCAGTTTCCAGTCAGACTGTAGGCAAGCTCTCTAACCCTGGGTCACACTCATCTACTAGCAGTTCCCCAAATATCCCAAGTTTTATAACACCTATGAATATTTGCAGAAGCTGTTCTTCCTGTGTGCAGTGTCTTCTTTCCCCTGCTTAGTTCATCTCTGTCAAGGATTATCATATCTGGCAAGCACTTGTCCACTTCTCTAAGATGGCTCAGGTCTGATTGTACTGTGATCAGATTTCCTTTACATCCATGTAGTAACTAGCATTGATGTCATCTAATCATTTGTTTGTGTGGCTGTTAACCCACCAACTGGGGGCACTATGCCTAGAAAGAAACTAAGTCCTTCCATTTCTCCATCCCTGACCCAGCCTGAGACTACAAAAAGGAAACAAGTTGGTGGAAAATGGAAACAAGGTGAGATAGAAGGGATAGGAAGCTTTCTTGTTGTCTCTATCTTTGCCTTTTTTTCTCTCCTGACTTTGTCCTTTAGAATGAGGTTCTGTCTGTTAAAGAGGGACTAAAGGGAAGGGAACCTCTGGGTGAGGCATAGTTTCTGGCTCAGAAAGGACTGGGAAACCCAGCTTTCCCTTAATTTGGTCAAGGTAGTAATCTTCAATTGGAAAAGATGACCTGAGAGTCTGAGCTTTTCACCTGTGTTCTTCTAAGAACTGGATTCCATACTTCTAGATAAGGCAAGCATTTTAACATCTTTATCCATATACTATCTGCAACAGATCTTTGACTTCATTTCTACACTGTATCTGTGTTTCCTCCAAGCCTTCTTCTAATCTTATTGCTAGAGGTGGTACATCATAGTGCTTGACAGAATTATCCTGGGGCCCCACCTCGGCAGGTCCTGTTGTCTGTGTGGAGGATGTAGCCGAAGCGACAGGAACAGTAGTAGCCGCCAATGTAGTTGTGGCAGTAGTGGTCACAGGACAGCTCCTCATCCTCCCTCTCCTTGCATTCGTCCACATCTGCAGGGCAGGTAGAGCCTCTTAGTCAAGTAATGCGTGCGCGTTTGCATAGCCCACTTAGTTGGAGCCACCCACTGGGCTGCAAGGCTCATACATTCTTTCATTTATATAAAGCCTAAAGACAGCCTTTATTTCCATTTTATGAGGGGAGAAACTAGGACTCAGAGAAGTTAGGTAACTTACCCAAGGTTATAGAAAACAGGTTCTGGTAGAAACACTATCCTTTGACAGTAGCAATAATTACTGAGCCAGGCAATATTCTTAGAAAGCAAGGTTATTACCATCCTCTAATTGGAGATGGTAAAACTAAGACCTAGAGGCCCTAGGTGGGATGGCTCCAGAGTGTGTGCTCTAACTTCCACTCCATGTTGCCTTTCTTCCTTCCCATGCATCTAATATGGCTCAGGCCCTATCCTAGGCATATGAATATATAGTTCTCTTAAAGAAGCATATATTCGAATAGCCAAGAAACACTTGAAAAGATGCTCACCATCCCTGCTCATCAGGGGAATACAATTTAAGCCATATTGCGGTAGTACCATACATACCCTCCAGAGAGGTTAATTTTTTTTAAATTGACAATATCTAGCATTGGTGAGGATATGGAGCATGCAAAACTCTCACACACTGGTGGGAAAATATAAAATGATGTAATTGCTTCAGAAAAGTTTGAAAAATTCCTTATACAACTAACAAAAATATGATTCCTAGGTATTTTCCCAATAGAAATGGAAGTATATGTTCATAGAAAAACTTGTGGCAGAATGTTCATTGAAAGTATGAATGAGAATAAGAAATTGAGAGAGCCCAGATTTCCCTCAATGAGCAATGGAAAAAAAGAAATTATAGTATATTCATACAATGGAACATTGCCCCATGAATACAGTAGTAAATTCCTGATGTATAAATCAATATAAATGCATCTCAGAAACATCATGTTAAATAAAAGAATCTTCACTTCCCAAATATATTTCCACTGTGCTCATTCATGTAAAGATTTAGAAAAGGTAAAGCTAAACCTATGGCATAAGAAAATCAGAATGAGCGGGTAGCAGGTGGCTCACGCCTATAACCCTAGCTACTCAGGAGGCTGAGATCTGAGGATCACGGTTCAAAGTCAGCCTGGGCAGGAAAGTCCGTGAGACTCTTATCTCCAATAAACCACTAGAAAAGGAAGTGGTGCTGTGGCTCAAGCGGTAGAGTGCTCACCTTGAGTTGAAGAGCGCAAGGACAGCGCCCAAGCCCAGAGTTCAAACCCCATGACCGAAAAACAAAACAAAAAGAAAATCAGAATGATTGTTTTCTATGAAATTGGGAGCAGAAATTGATTAGGAAGGAGTATGAGGGTATTTTTATGGGCTAGTGGTAAAGTTCAAATCTTGTTAGGATTTTGGCTTACATGCAGACATCAAATTTTCGAAATTCAACAAATGTATACTTACAATTTATTGTATGTAAACTTCACACTTAAAGAGAAAGAACCATGAGTCGATATTGAACTCTAAATGTTTTACGTACATTCTGAAGTATTTAAAAAGGATTCTAATATTTGCCATTGCATTGAAATGTCTCAAAAAAAGATGGATTGATGGGTAGATAAGAGATATATGGGTAGATAGACAATGGAGCAAATGTAGTAAGGCAACAAAGTAGAGTTTAATGTGGCGAGAATGCAGGTGTTCTCTGTAAAGGAGAGGACATAAGGCAGTTTCATCTTTAGAGAGAAAGAGGCCTGGGGAAGAGCCACCCAGTTTCCCAACTTACCCACAGCCATGTAGTGGGCATCAAAGCCAGTGAATCGCTCCTCATTGGAGAAATCTGATCGGAAAGTGATGGACATGAAGAAGCCAGGGGAGAGAACCACTTCCTGGCCAGGGGTCTGCTCTGTGTCTGTAGTCTCCCGGCCACAGAAGGTTGCCAGCACCTGGTCTTCAGCTTCTACCTTTGAGGTCAAAATGAAGGGGAAGAAGATGAGTGGTTTCCTTTCATAGCTTCTCTTGTAATCTCCAGGAAGCAAAAGGAAAGGCATGCCCATAAATTAGACTAAGTAGGCTAGAGAAATTCAAAGAAAGGGGATTAGGGACTCCTAATTGAGGAAGACACATTGTAAGTACACCAATGGGACCCTCTGATTTGTTTCATTTTGTTTAGTTCCATCAGAAGTAGCTTGATACCTGTCATTCCTGTTGCCAACCAAGTGACTTAATCATCAAAAACAAAGTTTAATCACAAAAGAGCAAAATAATCTTGCAGGTGAATTCTATATGTAACAGCCATTTACCACATTTCTAAAGAAAAGAGATTGCAGACACAACATAGGCCATTCAAAGAGCATCCAGTGTTGTGCTTGCCACTGAATACTGTATGTGATGGGGCAGTGGGAGACGTTAATACAGTACTGTGGGCAGGAAGGTAGTGTTCAGCTTGAGAAGCAGACACAGACAGAGCTATTATACAGCCAACAAGTACTTCAATAGAATCACTTGAGGTGAAGCTCTCCACAAGAACCAAAGGTCCAGGAAAGTAGGATTGTTCTTCATAGACATAGAATAGGACCCAGCATGGAATAGTTACTTATAAATATTTGTTAATGAGAACTAAAAGTACAAGGCCCAGTTCAGAGCCAGGAGAAGCCAGAAAGTCTGAGAAGATTGAAGGAGGAGATATGTTTGGAAGCTATGTGGAAAGTAGATAATGTCATTAATTCTGCAAGTGGAAAATATTGAACACTTTTGAACAGGAAGTCATATAATCGTGACTCTAATAGGTAGTCTTAAAAATAAAGAAATTAGGCGGTGGCTCACACCTGTAATCCTAGCTACTCAGGAGGCTGAGATATGAGGATTGGGGTTCGGGGCCAGCCTGGGGCAGGAAACTCATAGAGACTCATATCTTCACTTAACTACTCAGAAAAATCCAGAAATGGTGCCGTGGTTCAAGTGGTAGAAGCAATAGCCTTGAGCAAAAGCAGCTCAGGGACAGAGCCCAGGCCCATGGATCAAGCCCCAGGACTGGCAAAATAAGAATAAGAAAATAGAAATTAGCTGGGGCTGGTGGCTCATGCCTATAATCCTAGCAACTTAGGAGGCTGAGATCTGAGGTTTCAGTTTGAAGCCAGCCTGGGCAGGAAAGTCCATAGATTCTTTTTTTTTTTTAATTTTTGACTATTTTTTTAATTTCACAAATTTCACAGTATTGTGGGATAGTGAATAAGATTCTTATCTCCAATTAGGCCAGAAGTGAAGCTGTGGCTCAAGTGGTAGAGTGCTAACCTGGAGCAAAAAAGCTTAAGGACAGTTTCCTGGCCTTGACTTCAAGCCCCAGGACTGTCAGAAAGAAAAAAAAAAACAACAACAACACAGAAAATATTAGGAACATCTGAAAATTATATATGTGCTGAGACTAGATGCAAAACAAAATTTCCACTTGCTAAAATAATTCTCCATTTTGAAAGAGCCACAAGTCCTGTGTGAATTGTGAGTGCGAAGCAGAGAGGAGACTTGGTCACCTCAGCTGGAGTTCTGTCTGGCTTAGGAAGTGGGTTGGAGAACCTTTGACTACAAATATGATCTGCCCACCACTCAATCTATCTTCTTATTCCTCATTCAATTCTTTCCAGCTTGTGTTTCGGTTTGTCATCTCTGGAGTGCTGTTTTACCCTAGACACATGGGAAAAATCTTACCAAGAATGGTTTCAACTGCCCTTCAAAGTGATTAAAGGAAAATTCTCAAAGGCTGGGTCCCTTGTAGCCTCTAAAATTCATTGTTCAGTTCATTAGCTTAGTATGTCAGAATATCTTGACATTTGACACTTCTGTTTTGAAACTAATGGTTTATTTATTTAAAATAAGAAGGCGTTTTTAAAGAAAAACAATTCGCCCTGGCAACAACACACAAGGACAATTAATCACTAACGCTGGGAATTGAAGTGTAAACAGAAGATGAGGTCAGGGCTTTGCTATTTGTTCTTCTCTGCAGATCCCAGGGAGCTCACATCAGTTCCTTACTGTACAATGTGCCTTTCTAACATGCCACTTTCTCCAGCATCTCAGCTGCAATGTTATTTTGGTTGGCTGAGTTTCCCAGATCGCTGAACGTTTATCTAACGGTAATCTTTAAAACATTTTTTTTTCCTTTTAGGTATAATGCTCCTGTTGAAGAAGTGCTTAATGCAAATCCCTGTTTTCTTAAATGAAGCTCATTCAACCTTTTCTTTGTGATCCAGGGCCTCATTATGAATTTCAACTTTTGAAGTAACATATTCAAGTGAGACCCTGGGGGATATTTAGTTCCGCATGCAGTGTTGTCAGGCTAATATGCCTTTGCAGTTCTTAAGTCTCCTTGATAGACTTCTGTTTTCTTCTGTCTTTCATCAGTCTCATAACTTCTCTTTTCTGTTTATTTTTAGTGTGTCATGAGTTTAAAACTACTTAACCTGGAAACTTAATGAAAAGGAAACCAAACCAAGAGTGTGTTTTCACATACCTATAGTCCCAGCAACTCAGGAGGCAGAGATTGTGAGGCCTGTGGTTGAAGGCCAGCCCAGGCAAAAGTTCTTGAGATCTTATCTCAAAAACAAGGTAAGCATGGCAGCACATGCCAATGGTCCCAGCTAGTTTGGAGGAAAAAGTAGGATAATAGCAGTCTTAGGACAGCCCAGGCAAAAGCACAAGACCTTATCTGAAAAACAACACAAATACACACACACACACACACACACACACACACTCACACACACACCCTAAAAGCAAAAGCACAAAAGCAAGTGATAGAGGCCTTGAGTCTAATTCTCAGCACTGAAGCAAGCCAGTGTGAGAGAGAGACAGACAGAGACAGAGAGAGACAGAGAGACAGAGAGAAGGAAAGAGGCTAGCTAAATAGATTTAGAGTGAGAACTTGAGATTCCTATGTTCATAATCATATGAACTGAGAGCTCTATCCTGTTGACCTCTGCTTTGGTGTAAAGTGTACAGAGCTGGTAGTTAGAGATCCAGGGTCCTATTCTTTATTCTACCACAAACTGCTATATTACCAACCCCCTCTCAGCTATCCCTACTCCATCTGTAAAACAGGTGTTTGAACTTGCTGAGCTCCAGATTTCCTTCCAAGCCTAACATACTAGTGGTCTAATGAGCCACGATTGTCATATGCTAAATAAACGAATCTATAACATGGTGAACTGAAGTTTCAACACATGGATTTTGGCTGGCCTGTTGATGAGCTTGATGAACTTCAGCTTGTGACCCATAGCTATATGATTAAAAAAAAAACAAAACAGTGACAGATGGAATTTTCATGCCCGGAGCATTAACAGTTCCATCCACAGCAACTTCCATCCTATAACCTCTCTCCTGGGCAATGAGTTTTGTAGCACCTGAAACAGAGAGACTTTAAAGTGAAATCAACTAGAGATCACTTTGACTGGAGAGAGACCATCCTGTGGTTATGTGGTAATTTCTTCCCTCCTTACAACTTGTAGGTTATGGACCTTCTCATGATAACAGATATATAGTCATTATCTGCAGAGACACACTGTTCCAGAGATCAGGAAAGCATGCCCAGGTGAGAGGCATGGCAAAACTGAGTCATATACACTTTTAGAACTGGAGAAGAGGAGAGTCGCTTGGAGCCCTGGGAACTCAGCATGTAGCCTAGAATAGAATCTTTGAATATCAGGGCTGGGAAGGACCTTTGAGAGTTATTTCAATCTCCCTTATTCTAGAGGAAACAGCTTCAGAAAGGGGAAGTGACTTGCACAAGGGTAGAGTGATAACTTTCGGATATCAGCTTTGGGAATTCTTCTGAAACTGCAGAAGGAAACTATAGGCCCAGAAAGTAAGTACATGACAAAAGACACAGACACTTGGCCAAACAAGTTTCCTGCCTCAAGAGCTTGTTGAAACCTTATCTTGAGTGCCTGGATTTTCTCCCAGAGAGGATGTGGCTCAGTGACAGCTCCATTCATAACCTAAACAGAAGGGTCACCAGCCCTGGTGGATACTTTGCATCCCCTAAGTTGGGTTATAAAGTTCTACAGAGATCATTTGTCTCCTAGAATAGAAGGATTGAGTTCTGGCTGCTGTCTGGAAAGTTCCATCTCTGGGGCCATCATATCAGCATGGTGTAGTGAACTTGTCAAGCGAAAACATAAAAATTCTTTAACAGTAGAGTAAGTATATGAAGGGTCATATATGATCCTCTATTTCTAATTGTGGACATCTCTGTGCAGACCATTGCTATTTAAGGTACTAACAAGTGGTCACATGTAATCAATATGCTGTAACTCAATTCCACAAATCTTTATGCATCAAGTTCTGTCTCTACCACAATATAGAGGATGCCAAATATAACTTATTTGGTGGCATGAACTTAATACACATGTCCTTTGCCTCTGGGAATGTGATGTTCACTAGGAGAACAAGGTAAGTTCTCCAATGTGTATGTTGGGGTGTTGTCAGAATATGGTAAATGCAATGAAAGATAGTCAACATTGGAGGCTTAAAGGAAGAAAGCATCTCATGCAGTTAAGAGGGATCAGAAAACATTTAGGGGTTGGGAATTTAGTTCAGTGGTTAGGCACTCACCTAGCTTGTGCCTTGAGCTTGATTTCCAGCATTCAGGAATGTCTTTGAGCTGAGGAATGGCATTTGAATAGGATCTAGGTAGGTAGAACGGAAAGGTGGAGAGTAGAAAGAGCATCTAGGCAGAGGGGATAGTGAAAGCATGGGCTGTTCAACCAAGTTCCACATCACCCAATGTTCAACTAGCTGGTGTAGGAAAAAGTTTTGTGAGGATAAGTGATTTGGGAAGTGGACCTCAGGAAGAGAGTCCAGAGTCTGTTTGTTTTGTTTTGTTTTTTCAAACACAAATAAGGCTGGGCAGCAAGAAGTTGGCTACATTTCCGTGGAAAGTTAGCCCAGGCTGCTCTCCATTTGTGCGTAG